AGGTAGGTAAAGCCTAAAAGCTTTATCTTGTACGCAGATGGCAGGTAGATTTAATTTCATTTCCTCTCTGACAGGTCAGCAAGGACTATCCAGAGCATCTTGTGGAGGAAAGAGTCTGTGATTGATTAGCAATGCCTGCCAGAGGCGCAGGCATAGGAAGTAGCAGCTACATGAGCTGTATGTTTGCTATGCATTGGCTCAGTAAGTTGTCATTGAGGGGCTGCTTCATGCAGGGCTTTTACTGATCCTTGTTCTGAAAACTCAGTAGTAAACAAAATGAGTTCCTGATCTCAGGAAGCTTACATTCTAGAAGGGGAGACAATATACCTGCAAACAAATGCCTGGATAATATGATCTCATCTAGTGCTAAGAAGAATAAAGAAAATAACATACTGCAATGGGGTAGACAGCGATGGTGTGGGGAGTGGGGAGGAGATCGAGGTGGTCCAGGAAGTGACCTAAACACTCAAAAGGAGACACTCTTGCAATAAGCCTCCAGAGAAAGAATACAGCAAGTACAGAAGCCCAAGGCAGGGCCTCTGAGGCCCAGAGAGACCACAGTCAAGGGGGAGGCAAGGGATAGGGGGAGAGGGGGAGAGGGAGTGATGAGAAGGCCAGCTCTTGATCCAGTGCACCTCCTGGATGCCAGAGAGGCCTCCCAAACTTCACACCCCACATCTAAACCCTTAGTCCGTCCCGACCTCATCACATCTGAATCTGCTCTTCCTCCAAAAGCCTTTCCCTTTCTCTCTATAAATGAGACCAAGGAGCCACATAAGACCTTGGGATGACAACCCAGCTAGCAATATCTCTTGCCAGGGCCTCTTCTTCAGCCTCCTCACTTCCACCCTTTTTGGAAGACGAAGAAGTACTCGTCAAACCAATCCCACCATTCCTTTCTGCCCCCAGAGCTCTCTTCCACCTAGTTTTGTCCTTTGTGTAACTATCCCAACCCACAAGACAGGGACAGATGCTTTATTGTCTTTTTAAAAGAATCTAGAGTTGGTCACAGCCACTGGAGTCTGAAGCCCTAATTCAATTCACACACATTCCTCCAGTTGTCCCCAGACTAACAGTGCTTGCAGAGTAGATCTGGGGACTGGGCATTAATTATCCTAGGAACTGTTTATCAGGTCCTACAGTACTTCGGCACGTTACCCAACTTGGCAGCTGGAACATCACAATTACCCCACGAGGGAGGTGTGATTGTCATCCTGTTTTCTTTTATGTGGCTCCTTGGGCTCAGAAAGGTCAGCCTCTTATAAATCCCACAGCTGATGAATAGCTCAGCTTGATTTGGACTCAGATCCCTCTAATGTCAAAACCCAAGCTCTTGCTTTTGCATCAAGCTTTCTCCTAGACTCAGCTGGGCAAAAGCTGATGGGATCAGAGAGAGATGCCTTGACTGAAGCTTAGATGTTTTTCTTTCATTCCAAAATCCAAGGTCAGAGCTTCCTCCATAGGATCCTTGGGACCCCCTCAGTTGGAAAAGATGAGAGTATTAGGACCTTCCATCCATCTAACCCCAAAGAAACAGAGGGATTCCAGCCCCTTACCTGGCCTGGCTTTTAGGCCCTACCCTCTTTCTGTTCCACTCCTACATCCTTCCTGTAGCCAGGTGGCCACCTTCTTGCACCCAGCTTCTCTCCAGCCCACTGGGCTTTTCTTGATCAGGAAGGATTCCCGTGGGAACCATGGTGCCAACATCCGGTGAGGACAGGCCCCCCGTAACCTGCTAGCTCCATTGCCTCTGCTATCAGGACCAAGAACAAAGGGGCTTGGTGCCTGCCGCCTGGCTGGCTATGTTTGTCCAGGGCAAGGCCCAGCCTGGCACAGATGCTGAGCAAACAGGAGTGCCGGCCTCAAAGATCTGCCTTACAAGGAGCAGGGCTTTGGTTGAGACAGGCGTGCAGCTGCCAGGCCACCTGCTGAAATGTCACCCTGCTTAGCCCAGCCAGCACTCCAGGGCAGGGGGCCCTCCAGGCCAAGCAGGCACCTCTCTGCCTCAGGCTTTTCAGCTTTATAATTAGGAGATAAATGAAATGATATCTAAGATCTCTTTCTAGGTTAGAGCCTTGAGTGGTGTTTCTGGAAGCTTTAGAGTTTGAGAACAGGTCTGAGAGGTGGCAATGCCTATGAGGTGGGGGTGGAACCGGAGGACTGCGTCACTCCCCTACTCCAGCCCCACTCACCCACGAACATCTCTGTCTCTGGCCAGAAAGACTGACCTCTTTCAGAGCAGTGTCCTTGAGCACTGGATTCATGACCTCTGACACCTTTCTACAGTTTTCAGGACCGGAATCCTAGCATATCTCATGGTCAGAGAACTTAGTGAGCCCATCTTATTTTTGAGGCCACCTAGAATCTGACTCTCACTTTCCTAGCCGAGAAATTTAAGAGTAGCTTGGGGAAGCTCTGAAGAACAATGGAGGGAGGATGGTAGTGACTCTGGAATTTAGGGTGCAGGAGAAACAACTGCTTGTTAAAAATGCAGAATCTTAGCAAGGTATGGTCACACACACCTGTAATCCCAGCACTCTGGGAGGTTAAACCAAGAGAATCATGAGTTCAAGCCCAGCCCAGGCAAGTTAGTGAGTTAGTGAGCATTGTCTCAAAAATTTAAAAAGAACGGGAGCTGGAGAAGCGGCTCAGTGTGAAGGCCCTGGGTTCAATCCCCAGTACTGCGAGGGAAAAGTGCCGACTCCTGGGCTCTACACTCCAGAGAGCTTAGGTCCCAAATCCAACAGCGAGAAGGGTAGCTCAGAATTCTGAGCTTTTATTGAGCACTTAGAGGCTCCTTAGGTCTCTAGTGAGGTAAAATAAGTGTGTCTAAAAGCAACAAGGAGGGCTGGAGAGATGGCTCAGTGGTCTAAAGCACCTACTTAGAACAAGCTTAGCAAAGCATCAGGGACCGCGGTTCGATCCCCCAGCACCACATGCCAGCCAGCCCCGCCCCCTGGTGGGCTGAGCTGGCCACACACACACACCACACTCTCTCTCTCTCTCTCTCTCTCTCTCTCTCTCTAATAAATAAATAAATAAATAATTTTAAAAAATAATAAAAGCAACAAGGACCTAGGTTCAAACCCCACTCCTGCTTCTTTTTAGCTGTGCGACTGGGGACAAGCCTTTCTAGTTATCAGTTGTATGGTAGGAGGAGGCTATTATCACCTACCTCTGAAAAAGCCCGAACTATTGTTTGAGTGTTTATTGCACTTTGTAAATGTTTGTGGAGCGAATTGGGCGGAAGTCCATTTGGGCAAACTAGAAACGTGGTGTTCTCTTTGATGTCTCTGGGGCTGCTGCGGAAGGCCACCTCGCTCCACCACCCAATCACAATTTCCAGCAAACTGTGTGTCCTAAATACACCTTCACCCTGCCTCTTCTGTCAAGCCACCAGCTCCCCCACCTGCCCTACAGCCATTCACCCCCCAAGAGCAGCCCATGCTGATTGCATACTGCCCCTGCTTCCTGTCCTAACTCTCAGGAAAGCCCTATCCTGAGTCCTGAGGATCCCCCCCCCATCTCCTACACCTCAGCATCCCTTAGCCCCTCTCAGTCCAGCTACATCCAAAACATTCTGAACTTCTGCCGAAGTCCTCTGATGAATCCCAGTTTCTATTGCCTCTAGGTTTTCACACAAAGTGCCTGGGACCAACCCCTTCCCCACACACATCCTTCCCTCATTCCGCATCTTTCATGTTTTCACTTAAATGTCATTTCCTCAGGGGCTGGACATTAGCGGTGGCCTCATTTGTGCTCTGAGAAGCTCTGTTCTTCCTTCACAGTGATGTTTATTACACTCCACTGAGATGACTTAATACCTGCCTCCAACATTCAACTGGCTCCTATAAAACACACCTCTGTCTTATCATAGTGCCTGCAGTGTCTGGAGTCTTTGACATATTGTGGGTACGCAAAAGAATTTATTGGATGAACGATTACAGGCACGGATGAATGAATAAATGAATGAATGAAAGATCAAGAAGGTCCTGGTGCCTAGATCTCCGCGATGGGCACACCCCTACTAATGCTTAAATTGAGCCTGGGGTCTAGATGTGCAAAAAAAAGACAGCCACAAGGGGGCGTCCCAGGGTCCACGTAGGCCACAGGGGGGCGCCTTTGACTTGCTCTATCTGGTAGGCACCTCTCCGGACTCAAATTGGTTACTAATAGCCAATGGGCGGCAAAGGGCGGGTCTCTCCTTCTGATGGACAATATCGCCCCGCCCAATCTAATTCATCTTTTCCTTGGCCCCGCCTACGCCCCCCGGTTGGGGGGACCTGACTCAGGTGCCGCCAACCGAACTCCAGCTGAGCGCTCTGGAAGCCGAACCAGCTGGCCGGGCGGTCTGTGAGTGGGCGGCGGGCCTCTGGGGGCGGGATCGCAGCGTTGACAGGCAGGCGGGCGATCCCGCCCCTCTCGCCCAAAGCGGCAGCGCCAGCTCTGGGGACAGCAGAAGTGAGTACGTGAGCGGCGCTGCAAGATCCCTGCTCAGACCCCGGACCGAGCGCGCACCCGGAGCCGCGGATCCCCTTCCAACCCGGGGCGGACAGCTGGATTACTGTGCACCCCGAACCAGGACTACCTGTGCCCTCCCGCTTCCTGGAGTCTTCGGCATTGAACCACCCAGCGCCCCGGACCCTCCTGGACCGGTCCATCCAGATTCCCGCGGAACCGACCTGTCCGCATCCCCCAGGATCCTTGGGCTCGGAGCGCCGTCTTAGTCCCGAAGCCGTCCGCGCGGATCGAGCTCCCACTTCTCCTGGATCTCCTGGGACCGTACGCCAGCCTTCCCGGTGTCCGCCGAGCGGACCCTCCTTCGGGTGCCTGCAGCCCCGCAGGCGCGGCCCGGC